TTTTTTTGCGGTCGTATAAAAATGCTTATTTTTGGCCCCTTTTTGGCCCCTAATTCCTTTACTGTTGGTACCATAACCCCCAAAATCAATCCCAACCTTCCTTTTGTGGTATTGAACCTTGTGGTAAAATTTCATAGAGATCCATTCACTTAAACTAAAGTTAGAGTGCGAAAACCAATGTGTCTTCGGACGACGCCGGACGACGCCAGACGACGACGACGACGACGACGACGACGATGACGCCAACGTCATACCAATATACGACCACAAAAATTTTTTTGCGGTCGTATAAAAATGACCTAAAAGAGTTTGAACATATATATTCGCATTCTGATTTTTTAAATGCCCATTTAATTAGGTGTGTGATTTTTTCTTAATAAGATTATGAGGCAAAGTGGTATATAGGGTAGAAAAATCAAAACTTTGAACAGATTCGAAATCACCAATTTATGCATGCAATTTATCAAGTACTTCCAACGAATTTTTGACACTCCAAAAGTAATTAATTCCACTATTTTCAAAGGCCTTATTTGAACAATTTATTACCAGGTTTTTGATTGTACCAAGTGTACTAGTAAGAAGAATAGACAGTTTAGTAGAGGAACAATGGCTTGAAGACGAAATAAATCTTAATATATATTTGTAAGGTGTTTTGTGCAGCTTCGGAAGCCAGTACATAGTTGGAACTTTCATTGTATTTGGTTCTGCTTGTAAAGAGGTAGCTAAAAGTTTATGTTTGTTACAGATGTCATTTTCCCATAATGGAGTCAGTTGGAATGTTGGTGAATTCGTGATTTCCTTTTGCAGAACCTCAATGTAAAATTTACGTCAAACAATAATGATATTATTAGCAGCCTTATCAGCCGGGACAAAAACAAATTCCTTGGCGAGTTTTTTTAGCTTATGTTTGATACGAGTTATATGGCTATTATGGCTGTTGTTAGGAGTAAAATGTTCTTTAAAATGTTTTATACGAATATCAACTATGTTCATTACTGAATTAAAAAAAGAATCTAAGGATTTCTCGTCAGCTTTTTCTCGTTTTATCCATTTCGAGCAGTAATAACGGAGTGAGTCGTGGATGACGTTACGACACACATTCCAATTAATAATTGACGGGGGACGATATTTATGTCCTTTACTGAGGAATGATTTCAACTCTCAGTCATGAACGATGTTAAGGTCTCCTGTTATAACATGGGAACTGGGGCCATAACTGTATTAGGAATTACTGCAATTTCATGACGTAGGTGTATTGTCACTGATATTAACATCTCTACACATTTCGCTATAATTAAACACATATTTCCGCGGGTATATTTTTTGTAAACATAATAAATAAGAGGGAGTTCAGTTTTATCAAAATAGCCAGGAATTTGTTCTTTAACAGAATGATCATTAAAAATACCGGCAATATTTACAAAATCAAAACCTTTATTGATATATTTGATTTTAATTAAATGATTTTATGATCTTCATGGCGATCAATTTTGGGAAACAGTTTAGAATAACAATATGCAATTATAATTTGGACGATTTCATACTTAGGACTGCAATATGGAATTGTGTTGCAATCCTCTAAAATTTGATGTAATTTATTAATAGGTATTAAAGAGCTTGGTTAGCAGATACTGTCTGCCGTTGTTTTTTGAAATAGTAATTAGGTTTTGTTGGTACGAAATTTTCTTTGATTGCGATTCATTCTACGCCCATGAGAACGGTTTTTACGAACAGTTTTAGAAACTATATCCAAAATGTTAACAGAATCGGTTCTTGATATGTAACCAATTCCCATGATATTATCATTAAGACCGAGAGGATAGACTGTCTGTAATTTTTTAATCCAATTTAATCAGTCAATTATTTTCCGTGATCGTACAAACTTTGAATGAGATTCCCCAGGCTGCTTATGTACTACTTCTAAAGGTTGAACTGTTAAATATTTAATAAGATGATTGTGCTTCTTAAGGTGTTGATAAATGATACTTTTGAATTTATTGTGTCTTTTAAAACGATAAAGATGTTCTTGCGTGCGTTTAGATAAATAGCGTCCAGTTTCACCTACGTACTGAATATCGCATCCCGGCTTGTTTCGTGTGAGTAAATAGATAATACTGTCAGTTTTTTTCAATTTATATCAGTTTCAAAATTTAAGGAAAATGTGCGACCATTAAACGTGGACCTTACCGTATTGTTGGAAAAGACGGGGACAGTATACTATAGCTTACACATATGAATAAAAGGGAACGAAAATGTCAACGAGTCAACAACCCCGAAACACAAGAAAAGAAAAACTGTTCATATGTCATCGTCTTACATGAAACACAAATGTCTTTGCCAAATGTCATGCTCTCCTTTACTCTAACTTGAGTTGCCGGGCTTCGGTCTAAATGAGGGTGTCTTCATTTCTATATTTCTTTAGTTTTTCAGGTCATTATTCTCTCTCTTATCTTTATATCAGAGGCACTTATTATTCTCTATTCTTTATTTGTTTGTCCATTTTTCTGAATTCTGTAAACCCCACCAAGACCCTAAGATATTGTTTGGGGTACCTGTATTATTCACGAAGTGAATTTGTTACTCGGAGAGTCCAAGTACTAGAAGCAGGCAGTATTTTAACTTAACTCTGCGTGCATACATGTACCTCAAATTCTAGATTCAAGATTCAAGATTCAAAGTTTTATTATCCTCAGACACAACAGTGTACAAGAGGTCAATATACATACATACATACATAAATAAACGAAATATCTATACAGTAATTATAATACAATTATGAAAAACATTACATGTACGACAACAGGAGCTAACACACATTTAACAATCACGTGATTCTCGTGGCACTTTCATTTGTATACAATACAGTCAGTTTAAAGTATATCTGTCATTTGGATTTAACACAATGTCATGAATTTGTGAGTATTTAAATAGGTATTAATAAGTGAATAATTATAAATACTTGATAATGTTTTTGATATATCTGCAAATATTACGATGTAACTTTACATTGCAATTTGACAGCATTCCAATCATCTTGATCTCTGATGGATTTGTATTGTAATAAGGTGGAATAAATTTTTTGCGCAGATCCACGATTTGTGGATATGTACAAGTAAACATATAATGATATTCATTACCAATGTTATTTTTACATAAATGACATATTCTATTGTGTTTAGGGATCTTTGCCCATCTTCCTGTCTCTATGGGAAATTTTAAATTTGAACATCTCAATTTACACATATATATTCTATCGGATAGAGCCAATCTAAGTAGATACGGTTCAAGTTTAAATTCATGTTTAAAAAGACCATAAAATTCCCCCCTAGATGAGTTATTTATTTGCGAAAACCAGTTTTGAATAAATTGATCAGTCAAGTTCTGTTTTAGAATAGACTTGAGAACAATGTTATCCATATGCATTTGATCATTCCATATAAAACTAAGCCCTGTTTCATCAAAAATAGATTTAACATAAGCAACCCATTTAAAATGTCCTTGGTTACTCTCGTGAAGTTTAAACATAAGTCTATACAAAATACTAGATATTTTGTTACTACTGGATAAAAGGTTGTTCCAAAATAAAGCCATTCTCAATTTAATGACAACTTCCATTGGAGAACGTCCGAGTCCTCCATATACCATATAGCTAGGAGTATTGTTTCTTAAATTGAGAATTCTCTTACAAAATTGCAAGTGTATTTTTTCTATACCCTGTTTATTTTCAAATCCCCATACTTCACTTGAGTAGACAAGAATTGGAGTAATAAGTGAATCAAACAATTTTAATTGCAAATCTAATGGAATTGACATATTTCTTGTTTTCTGCAATAAGGCATACAATGCTTTATTTGCCTGATCCAATAATTTCTTTTTTGCAGTACAAAAACTACCATTATAATTGAACATAACACCAAGATATGAATATGAATCTTGTACATCAATATTTTCACCATAAATGTTAAATACAATTTTTGGTTTAAATTTTCTCTTACTAAATATTACAATTTTTGTCTTGTTTGTATTAATACGAAGTTTCCATAAATTACAATATTGTTCAAAAGTTACCAAAGCCTGTTGAAGACCTTCTTCTGTTTCAGACAGTAGTACAGTATCGTCTGCATACAAGATAATTAGGAGTTTAAGGAAACAAGACAATTCTTCTTCACATTTTGCATAGACCTTTTGTAGACAATCGACTGTTGTCTAACAAGAAACTTTCAAGGTCATTTAAAAATAAAGAGAAGAGGAAAGGAGACAAATTCTCTCCCTGTTTTACTCCTACATCACAACTGAAAAACGCTGAAACTTCGTCTCCTTTCCTTATACATGTTTTAATATTTTGATACATATTATATATAACTTTAAAAATTTTACCCTGAATATTTGATTTCTGTAATTTTTGCCACAGTCCCATTCGCCAGACTGTATCAAAAGCACTTTTAAAATCTACAAACGAACAAAACAGTTTTTTTCCAGCAGAAAAATATAATGATATAAGGGCATGTAAAATGAATATATTGTCTACAGTTGAGAAGCCTTTTCTAAACCCTGCTTGGGCCTCAGAAATTAATTCAATTTCCTCTGATAATGTGTTTAATCTACAATTTAATACGGCAGTAAATGTTTTACTAAGGCAGGAGTTAAGAGTTATACCCCTGTATGCACTAGGATCTAATTTAGATCCTTTATTTTTGAAAATAGGAATCATAATTCCCATACCCCAGCTCTCAGGTATAAGACCCGTGTCCAATATGATATTAAATAGCAAAATATATATAGGCATCATATCATCTAATGTAGTTTTAATATATTCATTTAGTATAACGTCTTGTCCGGCAGATTTGCCATTTTTTAACTTCTTTACAACATTTATTATTTCATTAACAGTTATAGGATCATTCAATAATTCATTTAATTCTGGTGATATATCAAAAAGGTTTACATCTATATCATTACTACATTCATCCATATCATTCATATTTAAGTCTTTAAAATAATTGTACAAAGATTCCATAGATATAATGTTTGGATCATCGTTGCCCTTTTTATTAAATTTATTCAAGATTTTCCAGAATTCCTTGCCATTGGTTTTTGACGTATTTCTAATCTTGCTCTCAAGATTAAACTGATAGTCATTGTAAGCTTTATTGGTTATCTGCTTATATTTTTTGCTAAAGTCAAGTAATTTTTTATGATTTGTTTCATTTTTGTGTAAATTGTATTGTTTTCTTGCTTTGTGAAATTTTTTTCTAGCATCGTAACATTTTTTAGTATACCATGGTTTCTTGTTAGTTCTTTGAGTTGTAGTGCGAGGATTTTTAACAAATGTTTCGCTCGCAGATGATACGAGTATTTCGCCAATGTTATCAACGACAGTGTCAATTTCGTGTTGAGTACAATGATCACTCGAGTGTAAATTGTGAAGGTCGTTTAGTATTGCCGATAACTGTTCTTTTTTATTATGAACTGTATTGACAAACTGGTTTCGTTTGTTATCTTGCCACCTTGTTTTTGATGTATTGTCTGACGTAACAGAGTTGTTTTCATGTGACGTACTTTGTGACTTTAATGTAATGTGTATTGCGCTGTGCACATCAGATAACAATGGATCAAACTCTTGTATTTCAAATTTTTTGACTAGTGTAAAAAGCTTTGACGATAACAGTAAATAATCTACTACACTTGTATTTTTACAAGTAGTTTTACCAACACCTTTATCTACACCAATACGGGAATTAGCAATATACATATTCAATTTTTTACAGCAATTAAGTAATTTATACCCATAAGTATTAGGTTGACAACTACACTGTGTCACTCTTTGTAATGGAATATTATAAGACTTAAGATTTTCATAATCTAACATATATGAAATAATTTCGTTGTCAGTGTCTAAGTGAAAAAGATCTAAAAGAGTTTCATCAGCTAATACAAAATCATTCAAAATACCTGTCTTTGCATTAAAATCGCCAATAAGAGCCGTGTGTACATCTGATACTTTCTTAAAAGACATTAATTCATTCTCGATTTCATCAAAAGCTTCTAGATTTGAATATTTCGAACCTTCAGGTGGTATATAAATACAACCTACAATTACATCATTTTGCAAACCAAAAATGCTTTTTGATACTTTCATCCACTGTACAAATTGACTTTCACTCGTTATAAATGCTAAACTCGTTTTTAAGCTTTTCTTGTAAATAACTGCTATACCACCTGATTTTTTACACATTTTTTTTCTATTTTTTGTTACATATGTATAATCTTTTGGAACATCTAACACATCTAGATTATCAAGTTTGCTTTCTACAAATATTGAAATATCATAGTTTTGTATATTATCTGTAAATTCTTTAAATTTCAACTTAGATTTTAGTCCACACACATTTAAGAAAAATATATTAAGATCATTATTTACACATTTATTGTTTTTATGAGAGTCTTTGTTCTCAGTGTCAATACTCTGTCCTCTTGTACATCTGTCTTATTCACCATTACCATGATCCATTGCTACAGGAGGAGGAGGATGTTGACTAGATGTCCTAGGAAAGAAGCGTTTTTTGTCTATATACAATCGGTCTTCCTTTAGAACTGCCTCGTGTCCTTTAGTTCGGGCATCCTTCAGTATGGGAACTAGTTCTCTTCTCCGCTCAATGATTTCAATGGGATACTGTTCATGCACAACAAATTGCTTTTTGTTTTTCAGTTTTTGAATTGCAGCACTTAACACCATATTCCTGTCTTTTCGTCGCTCAAATTTAGCCACTATGCCCCTTGGACTCTTGTCCTTTTTTGGTTTAAGTCTGTGAACAACATGAAAGTTTATTTCCTCTTCTATTTGTATTTCACTCTTAATAAAATCTTTCAGAATTGCTTCAGTGTCCTCATCTGGATTGTAATCATCTGGGACACCTTTAAATATCAAATTTTCCCTCATAGATCTTGATTGTTGCTCTATTACTTTCTCTTTTAATTGTCTGTTTTCTTCAAATAGAATGTAATTTTGTTCACCCATGTCCTGTACTTTGTTTGACATTTCACTTAGCCCTTGATCAAGGTTAATGATATTATTAGTATGTGTCTTTATCTGTTCTTTCATGTTAGAAACTTCACAGTCTATTTTCTTGCAGTGTGTTTCCATGGAGACAACCCTTTGTAATATGTCTTCTAGCATATCTAATTTTTTCAGTCTTTCTGTCACTTCACTCATAAATTTATTTAAATCTGGATTTGTGTATTGGTATGGTGATGGTGTTAATAGTGGCATGGTGGACAGCATAGCAGGCAATTGTTGATGATTACTCTGCATCAAATTAGCTGGTGTAGTATGAGGGGCTGGTGGCTGAAATGGTGTAAACGGATAGCCGGGATAAGTCCCATACAATGTTTGGTGGGCAGCAGAATAAACATTACTGGTTAAAGGTGACTGGTTCGTTTCCTGATTAGTTTGTGGTTTTTGAGGTATGGAACAAGCTGGGCTTTGTTCTTTACTATTTGAGTTATGTGGGTTTGAGTTCTTTGAGTTTTTTTTGTCAGCCATCTTTATCTTTTTGTTTGAAAATGGCGACCCTGTTTGTTTTCGTTTTCGTTTACTTTTATTCTTCTTTTTCTTACTACTTGCCATCAATAAATATTGTTGTTGTTGATGAATTGATTTCAAATAACATCTGGGAACATAATATACGTGTTTGCTGTGACATCTTTCAGTTTAAATCCAAAAAAACACAAAAATTTCTACACTGGTAAAATGTTTCGACTAGCTCCTGACGCCATTATTTCCTAGATTGTACGAGAAACTAGGATGGGATCGAACCTTTAAATTAGACCGAAAAGCAAGTAAATCCTATAGGTTAACATGTTTCTAGCCACTAATATGATCTTATTCAATCTTATGGGGAAAATGTACATACATATAGCCTTAGGGAACACACATCTAGGAAAATTTTATGCTACTATTTTGTTTTAGTGTACTATATATCCGAGTAGCACTGACGAGCATTATGCTGACGAAACGAGCGACTGGCGTACTGAATAGTAAGCTTGGTATCTTTGATGATATTTTAAGATATGAGTTTGTATCTGGTCCCCATGATACACTTCTGCATCAACACATTTTCATTTTTAATAATGTTTGATAGTGAGAAAGTAAATAAATTCCACTTTAAGATTCCATCACTTAAAATAGTATTTAACAACTACTTCAAATGAAAGTTGAATATCTCTGGTACGCTTTGTAATTTTCAATTTATATATATTTAATAAAGTTTCAAACATTTTTGTCGTAGTTTTTAATATCACATTTTATTCATCGTTATCTTTAATTTAAGAATAAAGAAAATTAAAAAAATAATGTTTCACTGTATGATCTATTGATTTCATTGAAGGTTATTTAATTGTTTTTATCTCGAATTAGTGATGTCATTTTCATGTCAAATATTTATGCACTTTTGGGCCTTAATTGGAATAAAATATTCTTGGTTTTCTTAAATTAGTACTAAAGAATGAACAATTAAATACTGAATATTTATTTTGCGAAATATTATTGACGTGATATAATTAGAGTTATTTCCCTTAGAACTTTCGTTTTGCTTTGAAATGGAGAGGATGTTATTATAAGATTAATATTTCATCAACTGATTTTATCCTGTTTTTAAAATGTATTGTTCTCATGACACGTCTCTCGTTTTGACAAATTTTGATTGTATAAATGTAGCAATGTCCCTCGCTCATGTCATTGACCCTTTGATCAGTAGATTGGTGGTGTACAATGTATCTAGAATATCCTGGTATCCGATTTCTGTCAAAGAAAAAAAATTAAAAATAGCCTTTCATGAAGTCATAATTATTTTTAATTTCAGCTACTTCCTTAATAAATTAACTTCCCATTCCACTAAATTTGAAGTTGTCTCATTGGCAATCATATCACATCTCCTTATTTCAAGTTTTTTTTATATTTAAATTATATTGATAATTATTTTACATAAACGATTAACAAAAGAAATGAGTAAAATGGAAAATGAATAAAAAAAGATCGAGGGGGGTCATATGACTTACCATTCACGGATTGAGATTTCCATATATATCTCAACAAAATGAGGATAGCGACAACATGTAGCATGTCCCCACAAAATCCAAAACTGTTCAAATTTCCGATTATATTTACCATTTTTACAAATCAGGTGAAGAAGCCTAGCTCAGAGCTACATAGTGAAAGTTAAAGATAGATAATTCATAATAGACCTTTTCAACATCTCTCGACACCGACTAATGACACCTACAGTTTACAGGTAAAATGGAGGGGTCGTCTCAAAAATAGAAATCATTCATGAATAGTACTACGTTTGATTAAAGAACATATTTCAAACAAATATGGATATCTCTCTCGTTCATAGATCTTCATATGATATTCTTATTACATGTATGGGTCATGTATTAATACGACATTTCACCACGTTGAATTTATAAATTTCACATCGTGATCTGCTTTATTTCTTTTTAAAATGTATGATTATGAGTATTTAGATTAACGAGTCTGTCAACGAAGATTGTACCACATGCCGATCGTCACGTCACGTGGTGTACACATTCAATTTTGGGACATTATGGTTCACCCTCATATTTGATTCCTTGTTAGTCGATCAAAGATCGCTATTTTTTTTAATTTTTTTTTGGGGGGGGGGGGGGGGGGGGGGGAGTAAGATGAGGGTCTTTAACCATAATGCAGATCACAAGCGACGGCACCGTAAGCCGAAAATTTAAAGATAAAGAGTCGAAAATTGAATTGCTTTGTCGCTGAATATCGAATTCAAGTTGATCATCAAAATTGGCGAATTGAAAAGAAATAAAGTAGTGAGTACATTGAGGCACCCGAAGCCAAAATTAAAAGACATTGTAGAAATATGTGCCGCCCTAGTCAACAGACATAAAACATTGTTTAATTAAACCTCTAATACAAAAATACAGGTTTTTTTTTTTTTACAATTTCCATCTCGACGTCTAAAAAATGAAATTTCGAAGCCTTTCTTTTCATCAAAAATAACTTTAATTTTAATTAGCAAATACTTAGTAAACAAAACAAGGTACGGTACACAATAATTGCGTAAATACGCACGTGCACGTCATGTTGGATAGTTGTCTCATTGGCAATCAATATAATCATATGCGATCAATAATAATTTTTTCAATTTAATTTTTGAGACGACCCCCTCATATCTCACCTGTCGTAGTCGTTCTCAACTGTAGGTGTAGACAATTGTTGAAAAGGTCTAATAGTAGTGCCGGTAGAATGTTAACAGGTGTGTCTATTAATTCGTAACCATAACAAGCACACAAGTTGGTTTTAAAAAATGCAATACGTGAACCATAGAGGACTTTTTTGAGCGTGTTTTTAATTCAACAAAAATCTGAATTACGAAATTATGTCCATTACTGGTCACCTAGTAGTAGACTAGTTCTCGCCAGGTACTCTATTGAATTTCAGGTCAATTCACCAGAATTTTCGAATGAATTGTTAATAAATTTTAAAGGATATTCTTTGCAATTTATAAATTCATCAGTAAAGACAAAATTATGATTTTTTACCAACGATCAAGTACCATATCATTGTAGAACGGTAAACGTGAAAACGACGAAAATCGAAATTCACTTTTTGTTTAGTAGTATAAAACGTGTCATTTGAATTTCAATTAATTTCAAAACGTGTTAAAATAAAATTGAGAATGGAAATGGGGAATATGTCAAAAGGAACAAAAACCCATCCAAAGAGCAGATAACAGCCGAAGGCCACCAATGGGTCTTCAACGCAGCGAGAAAATCCCGAACCCGGAGGTGGTCCTCAGCTGGCCCCTAAATAAAATTGTGTACTGGTTCAGTGAAAATGGACGTCACACTAAACTCCAAAGCATATAAAGGAATTAAAATTAAAAAAAAAAAACATACAAGACTAACAAAGGCCAGAGGCTCCTGACTTGGGATAGGCGCAAAAATGCGGCGGGGTTAAACATGTTTTGTGAGATCTCAACCCTCCCCCTTTATATTAAGCTCTAGTTTAATGCCTATGATAATTCATTTATATGGTAAGTAATGACTGCATCAAGTCAGGAATATGGCAGTTTTTATTACATGTTCCGTCGATAGTGTTTGATTTTGTCAGTTTTTATGGATTTCCTCTTTTTGAATTTTCCTTGAAGCTCGGTTATTTTTTTTAATTTATTTTTTAAAATAGTCGGAGATTGCTTGTTCAGAAATCAAATAATATCATCATGAAGTCATCAAGCAGGTGACCATAACTATCTATTTTTCCATGGTTTAGGATTATTGTCAGTGTGTACAGTTCTTGAGTTCTTCTCTGATGCTAGTGACAGGGAATGCAAAAAGTTGATAATGTCAATTTGGTTGTTTATTTGATGTCTCAGATGTCTGTATAAAAAAGTGAATATAAAATCTAGCATTTCATTTGTTGTCTCAGATACCTATATAAAAAAAGTTAATACAAATTTGGTGTTTCATTTGATATTGTCTCAGATGCCTCCATAACAAAATACTTTGTTTATAGGGGGTAAAATAGCTTTCTTCCAAGAAAATTATAGTTGAATGGTGCAACCTGGAGCCAAACATATCATGTTCAAAGACTGTCCTAACAGTTAATCTTACTTAAAAACTTTCCTTCCGCTGTAGAAACATGTATATCCGATGTTTGATCTTGGTGTGTGTACTTTACAAATACTCACGGCCTACCTACAATCCCATAACTTAGATACACCTCAAAGCATGAGAGAGTATGACAGCATACTTACATTTCATGAGAACCAATTTTATTATGTCAAGTTTTACATTGGAATAAAATTCGTAAGGGTTCCGCGGAACCCAGTGTCTCGCCTACTTTTGCTGTTAATCGCAGGCTCAACAAAAATGAGATGAGGAAAAAATTTAATAAAAATATTCCTCTCGATACAATTTTTTTATTGTAAGAAGCTTCTGTCCATGTTTGGTAAAAATCCAGGATAGTTTATGAATCAAATAAATGTTTTAAAAAATTTAACTGCAAACTGTATGTAATGTTAACTGGAAGAAAAACTAAGTCCATTTATAAGTAAAATATGGATAAACAAGTACAAAATTTTAATAAAAATTTCCTTCTAGATACTAGCTTTTGATCATAAACAAACTTCTGTCCATGTTTGGTACAAATCCAGGATAGTTTAAGAAAGTTATTAAATTTTAAAAACTTTTAACCACAGAGTGAATGTAATGTTTCCTGGCAGAAAAACTAAGTCCATTTATAAGTAAAATACGGAAAAATAGGATTTTTTTTTTAAAATTTACTTCTGGATACTATCTTATGATCATAAACAAGCTTCTGTCCAAGTTTGGTAGAAATCCAGGATAGTTTAAGAAAGTTATTAAATTTTAAAAACTTTTAACCACAGAGTGAATGTAATGTTTCCTGGCAGAAAAACTAAGTCCATTTATAAGTGAAATACAGAAAAACAAGATTTTTTTTACAAAATTTACTTCTGGATACTATCTTATGATCATAAACAAGCTTCTGTCCAAGTTTGGTAGAAATCCAGGATAGTTTAAGAAAGTTATTAAAATTTCAAAAACTTTAACCACAGAGTGAATATTTGTGGACGCAGCCGACGACGCCGACGGAATGTAGGATTGTTATGTCTCGCTTTTTCGACAAAAGTCAAGGCTCGACAAAAATGTAACCTATAGCTTTATGTCATGTAATTTGAATGATGGATTATTTGTTGCTTGCTTAACGTCCAATGCCAAACTTTTCAGACACATTCAGGACAAGAACAAATTAACAATCAATACAATATAGATAATATAGCTAGATAAAGAAAATGATACAGGAATCTCATCAGTAGTCATCTTGTGTCATATATTAGTCACATTGTGTCATATATTAGTATTCTTGTGTCATACATTAGTCACCTTGTGTCATATATTAGTAGTCTTGTGTCATATATTAGTCACCTTGTGTCATATGTTAGTCTTGTGTCATATATTAGTAACCTTGTGTCATATATCAGTAGTCTTGTGTCATATATTAGTAGCCTAGTGTCATATATTAGTGGTTTTGTGTAGGGATGTCAACGAGTACTCGAGTATCGCTCGGTAGTACCGAGTATCGAATACCACAATGAAACTCGACTAATTGGTTTTCTGTTAGATTGTTGTTGTCTTCTTAAAGAAAAATATTTTTATTAAGAGCGCCTCCCGGGAAATTAAATATCAATCAAAAATTTGATTAAAATTAAAATACGTTTCAAATGTTTGCGTTTAATTGTCATTTAAAATCCCCTCGAACAGAGGTAGGCTATGAACAAGAACACCTTTCCGGGGCTTACACTTTTAGCTGAACATATGTTAGTCATTCCACCACCTCTGTACCATCATAGCAAATACTTTCATCATTTTAGAAATCGACTCGTCCCATAAAAAGTTGACAAAATAATATTTCTAAATAAGAACAAATTCGTTGCACCCTGTGTCGACCCTCAGAAAATGGTTAAAGGCATCAGTAAGTTCTAATCATCACCCCTTTGTTGATCATTAAATGTGTTTTTTTACAATTCCCAAATACTGTTGTTTGAGTAATCATTTGTCTATAGATGTTTATTGGTCAATTGATTAAATAATTGCCAGTTTATATAATTAGTACTTGTAGTAAATGAACTATAAATTATGGAACGAAATTCTTGGGACTGTTATCTAGGCATTAGGTAATAATGTTGAGGGTTTTACGTCCATAAGACAACGATCCACAATACGTAAAATGGGTATAATTTTGTGTTTCTATTTTGTAGATGTTGTTCCGAGCGAGTACTGGAGTATTGCTCGGTAAATCCAACGAGTACTCGATTACTAAATCTTCACCGAGTTGACATCCCTAGTTTTGTATCATATTAGTCGTCTTGTGTCATATATTAGTAGTCTTTTGTCATATATCAGTAGTCTTGTGTCATATATATTAGTAGCCTAGTGTCATATATTAGTAGTCTTGTGTCATATATATTAGTCACCCTGTGTCATATATTAGTAGTCTTGTGTCATATATATTAGTCACCCTGTGTCATATATTAGTAGTCTTGTGTCATATATATTAGTCGCCCTGTGTCATATAATAATGTTTTGTAATTTTGGAGAATTTGGTGTTGATAGCAGATCTTAGATATAGTATGTTTACTTTATTTACATTTGTTTGCCTTGAGGGAAATTAAGAACCTTATAAATATTGCACAGACATACAAAAAATTTGGGGAATGTACTAGTAATGGGACATTTATTGGTAAAAGAAATACCGACAAAAAAATGCCCCCCAAAAAAACCATGAAAAAGACAAACATACTTCTTGTGGTATGTTGTTTTTGTATATGATTATTCTCTTTTAAATTGCTCTTTTAAAATTTGTCAGGTTGCGCCTCCCCTAGCTTGCTATGGGATATGGGTTTTGCTCATTGTTAAGCCTTACTGTGGTCTCTGGTGGAAAGTTGTTTCATAAGTATTCATAACTCATCTTATTTTCATTAAAAAATAAAGACACTACATAGAAAACTAAAGACTTAGCAACAGGTACCCCACACAAAATTAAGATTACGTCTAATTCTAAGAACTGTGTGTTGACCTCTAGGTGTATTTTGATTTATTGTGTCTCAGTGAACCTTTGACCTTGGTGAAAGACTCAAAACCCTAATGTTGCATATTTTTTTTTAAAGTTCACATTGTCATAATGAACATGTAAACTAAATTTCAAGTTGATGTGGCCACAATTGCTTGTTAAATTGCAATAAACCAAAACTTTTACTTGTTATGAGATTGACTGACTGACAGATGGACAAACAGACTGAAAACATAGTGCCCCCTACTATTTTTAGCAGGGCATAATGAAAAGATTTATTATACTCTCTTTTGGTGTGTATAGTATGCAGGTTTTTACACTCGGATATATTTTTGAAAAGGGTGTGTGTATTATGTATGGCTACACAGTTCTTTCAACTTTTTTTCAGGTCCAAATTCTGACGTGGAAACCAGTTAGTCAGGAGGAAAATGAAAATGAACACTAACTTGATTGTTGCTATGTTTTCATGTATATTTGTATCTGATTTGTAATGTTATATGCAAATAAAAATCATTTAAGGTAGATGGGGTGTCTAAATTATAATCCATAGAATTTTTTAATAATTTCTCAAAATGTAGTTTATATCATGCTTTTAAAAAAAAAATAATAAAAAGAATGGGTCACTGGGCTTATTTTCACGCTACAGGTTGTGCAAAATTGACAGATTTTGTATGGATTATGCATGGAAAACCCAATTTTCTGCCATAAAACAAAAACTACACCATAGAATTTTGAGATAAAATATGAGAAGATAGCTTTAATAGTATGCTTTCAGATAAGAAAAAGAAAAAATGGGGTCACGGGACCCGTTTTCTTGCTACATAATAAAATAGGTAAATTCCTAACACATTCCATTGTAAAAGTAACTTTATCTGAATTATCTGCCCTTACATTTGAGTTGCCTCCCCTTATGTGGCAAAGTTGGAAAAAATAGAATCAAACAAAAATATTCTGTTTTTTTGTAAAATACAACCATAAATATGTCATTTCCTATATTGAAATGAAAATTCTTACAATGAATTAACTACTACTCTCAAAATTTGCACCTTTTATTAAAGATCCAGACCGATTGTTTTCTGGTATTTCAAAATCCAAGATGGAGGAAGACACCCTATCTACCTTAAATGCTTCAGTAGCTGTTTTTTGTGTTTTCTTGTGTCTCTTCTCTGTGCCACAAGTAATCATGAGGTATGTTATTATAATATAAACTGAACAATTACAAAATATTATTTAATGATAGATTTGTTTAAATCACACAGAATAAAGATTACTAACGGAACGTAACAGATATAAATAAGTAAAATAACAGTGAACAAACTTGTCAATTTCATTCAACAGTGAGCAAATCTATTTTACTTTTTACAATTGTATTATCCAAAGAAAAAATACAGAAAAAGGTAAACAATGACCAATTAATTCATAAATTATAATTTTTGTTAACAAGAACTAAAGGTTGAAAGACCTGAGCTAACAGGTAACAATATTCATCAAAAGAAAATTGGAAAAGAATTGTGTTTTAATTAGGCAAAAAAAAAACTGTTACAAAAAACAAAGCCAACTTCTAGATATAATCACAAAACAATGTTAGGTCTTTTCCTATGCATTTTACTTCATTTACAGTATGGATAACATTCCTTAAATTAATCTTAAAACAGAAATCCATGCAGAAATACAAACTTTAAATTAAATACTTATACAATTGTAAATGATTATATTTCACATCTCTTTTTTAATGAAAAAACAAGTACATGTAACAAACAAAAATAATTTGACTACCATTCTGAGGTTAGTAACTAAAAATATTTTTGTTTTGACCAATGATTGTTGTTCTATGCTGTAGATGAATGTTTACCCTACATGAGGCTCAATTATATGTCTTAATGCCATTAGTCATATCCATTATTTAGGACATTTTTTCCCAATCGTACGATTTTGAAAATGCGTTACCATAGTGCATTATATTTTGAACTGGTGAACTATTAGACAAATCTTTGCATTAGCGGTGGTAATTTTTTGTTTATAACTTATGAAAATAAGCATGGCAGCATTTACAATATATAAAACATATCATACAATAACTGCTTCCTTTATCAAAGCCTAAAAATTAGATATGTATATACTACTACAGAACCAAAGAAGAATGGTGAATTCTGGTGGATGGGATGGTCTTATGAGTAGGGTGGTTTTCATTTTTTTTTTGGGGGGGGGGAGGAGAGATGGGTGGTCTGAATCAATTTTCACCTACCAACCATGCATAAAATCTAAATTGATAATTTCCTTTTCCGCTTTCAGGATTATTTTTTTTAAGAAACAAGAATCACCCATGACTTTTAATTGAACTGTATTCAAGTCCCCTATAAATCTACTTCTATAAGAACCTTAAAATGAAAACTAATTTTCAAATAAAGCAAACTAGATATATGTTTTTCAATGTAAAGCAAGTATATGTATATAAGCTTATTTTTCATATATAAAATGATACAATATTTTGAAATCAATAGACTTTATTATACTACAGAAATGTTTACAATCTACATCCTTTTTTTTCATGACATTATAACACCAAACTGACCAATAAGATGAAGCCATGAATGTCACATGTGTGATTATGTTCAATTGCAGAAAAAAATCTAACATTTTCCCACCATTTACAATCAGAAATTCCAGAACAAATTAAAAATTGTTTGAACATAATGATGACAATAAACTATTTGTGTGATCCTCGAAAATAGAAATTTCGCCTGAAAACATTTAGTTTACTGCACACAACATAAAAAAGGCTCATATGTTTCCCTGGCATATACAAAGAGTTATTGAATTACAAATTGATAACTTTCAAATAAGATGAAAAAAATACAGTGAAAACATTGCAAATATACAACATTATGTATACAGTAGGTATTATCACAAATCAGTGTTTATCTTAATTGTCTAAAGGTTTCAACATTTTTCTAAAATACTTAGAAAGACTATTCAAAAACCTTTCATACAACTTGAGCAATTTGCCAAGATAAATGGTGAATAAGCAAATTGGACAAATAAAAAAATGCTGAAAATCCATATACAATACTGTTTTGATATGTTTTGAAAAGAAAGACCTACATCTATTCCTTTCAATTTTTCTAATAACTTTCTTCTTCATAAAAGCATTGGTTAAACAAGAAGCACTAATCTACCATCACAAAAAAAGCACTATTTATTCTCTCTCTCTAAATTCATGTAAAGCAAGAGTTATTTCCCTTCATGGCAAGTATTTTGATGGATAAGTTTTAGCTGTTATTTTTTTCCCTGATTTATTTCGACTTTATTTATTTTCAAATAAGTTTTATTTTTTCCAGGAGTTTAACCTTTCACATAAAAAGAAGACAAATGTTACAAAAGTTTGCAAAAGAAACAACTTCTGGAAAACAAGGATATAGTAGCCAGTGAGTTGGCAAGCCAAAGTAAATACTAAGTAACTTCCCTTCCTATGTATCAAATGATTTTCTTTTTCTTAACAAATTTTGAAAGGATATAAACAAACAAAACTGATTCTACAAAATATTGTGACCTTTTTTGACATCTTGATCATAAGCATAGCATGACCTATTAACAGAAAATGAACAATAAGGCAATGTTAGTAAGCAAACACGAGGTAGCCTGGATATTGGTAGATTAAGTACATTAAATACTTTCTTTGGTACGAATGAATCAAGAACAGTATCAAAATATGACATTATTATAATTAAAACAAGAACACCTAACAACAAAACAAAATAAGCACTTTTACCCAGTGAAGTAGTTGTCTGACAATAATTTACACTATAAAGAGGCCTATCATAGAGGATATAAAGAGGCCCATCATAGAGCCTATCAAGAGGCCCATCATAGAGGTTATCACAATACTTACAGATATTTTATAATTTATTCATCAAATAATCCAAAATGGACATTTACTCTTTAATCACTTTTTGTATAAAAATGTCAAAACTGATGTTTCGTATCTGCCACCCAAGAATAGTTACATGTTTTAAATGTAATCAGAAGATTTCTCAAAAACCAATAAGCAGCCACCAAATAACTGATCACTATTTTTAGTAAAAAGGGCAAAAAATCTGAAACCATATTTTGTATATACCTTTTTGCTTCTAATTTATTCATCAAATTGGCCAAAGTTCAAGAACTTCATTTTTCCAGTAAATATACCCCCCTTATCTATTGGTTGATTTGACCCAAACTTATTCTCCCTCCTTTAAATATGGACCAATAACCGAAAGCAAGGGGCAATAAAAGGAGGGTCTATATGGGGGTTTAAGCAACATGCTTGATTGTCCTTAAAAGAACAGCATCTTAAAAAGCTAGGCAGGCAATGAAATGATTATGAATCCTTGGGAATGAATTCAGCAGCATTTAAGATGATTTTGAACAAATTTTGAATAAGCATAAATTTAAAGCAAGGAACAGTTGGTTTAGTTCACTTCCTGAAAGAAACAAGAATTTTTTTACACCTACATGTATAAGAAACAATCTTAGAACAATCAAAAGGATAAATTTGATAAAAAAAAACACACAAAATATTGACACTTCTAAACTTAAGTATATATATTTTTTCAGTTATAAACCTTACCTCTTCAATGCTTGCAGGTCTAAAAAATATAATGCCCAGCAAGCAGATATTTTTCATTGAGATTCAGAATTTATTGAGAGTATTCATTTGCCAATATTGTTATATGTGAGGTCTAATCAGCAAATTCAAGATAAAATGCCAACATCTATTCAATAATTGAGAATAAATTTATTCCTTAACATTTTTGCCAAATAAAAGACTTATCGATCTGTTTATATATCTGTTTTCATTTATTCTTTTGTCATAAATTAGGCCATTGTTTAATAGTTTGTCATGCCTTTTAAAGCTTACTGGTTTTGTGTCATGGTTGAAGGCCATAAAGAGACCTATAATTGCTTAAATCCATGTCATTTGGACTTGGTGGATAGTTGTCTTGTTGGCATTCATACCACATCTCCCTATTTTCTATAATTAACTTTATTCAAAATGTCACATACATAGATGTTTCAGCTTTGACAAAATATACCCATGTATACATTTCATTGCATTTATCCTTGTAAAATTCTGTGATTTTTAAGTAAAATTTATCTTGCATTTGAATGAATAAAATAGCAGGATTGATTTTTACTCTTTTTAACATTGTATGCTGATTATGACAATACCAAGAAATCAAATATTCACGAAAACATGATTTATACTCAATCCACGAAAATAGGTATCAATGAAAATACAATTATTTCTTCAATCCTCGAAAATTGGTACTCACGAAAATAAATGAATCCACAGTAATTATTTATATAATTTTGAACATGAAAAAAGTAAATTATCAATAAACCACAAGGATACAAACATTCTTTAATAAATCTGTTGCTTTATCGTAAATTATTTATCACCATGAACAAAAATATGACTGTCATTTCAAAACACAGAAGAGGGGCAGTAGGAGGGAGTGTCATCCCAAATTCCTGCAAAAAATAAAGAATTCTTTCCTAGATTCCTTAAATTAATCATTTATTCCGGAGTCTGGATAGGTATAAATCCTGAATTCCCTAAAAAAAATAATAGCCTAATCCAGAACTCCCCAAAAAGCAAGGCCCAATTTTCATGTCCAGAAAGGTTTTTTTTTCAGCCCCTCACATAAAGAATTCATCAATGTTTACCAGGACTATAAATGACTATCATCAGCCCATTTATTCACACAACCCAGTCCTGGATGGCCAATAAAATAAGCATCTTGTTTACAATGTGTAACTCACAGTCACTGACATGACTGACAGGACTGGGTAAAAGTTACTAGAGATGGTGGTAACCATCAAAGACGAGTTGAAATCAGTTATTTCAAAATAAAACTCAACTGCCTGTAGGGCATACAGTCCATTTATTTGTTCCTAGTGTATATTTAAATACCACAAGTATTTGTTCTATAATTCTTACACTCATTGCATTTTCTTCTGTCACAAAAAGGGGGAAAAACAATTTTTCTACAATAAATTACATAAAGAACCTTCAAATAACATAAAGGAAAACAATATTGTAACCATGGAAACAAAAGATATAAATTATACCTAAAAAAGTGGAAAAAGTAACAATAACGATATGGTTGACTATAAATATGAAGAAAAGTCTATGTCATCTTAGTCATATGTATTCTTTTATTGATCCTGATCAAGTATACTCTTTTATTGATGAATGTTTATACTGGCATTGCGAAGAACTGGTACAGCACTCATGTTTTGCTGTAGTTCAGATTTTGGTGCTTTAATTTGTTCATGATATATTAATGCACCTATTTTTTTTTGGGGGGGGGGGGGGGGGGGGGTAGATATTCTTGAGATCAAGTATTTAAAACCTTAGTGACACTTGTTTTACTTACACAAACATTACAAAAATATAGACAACAATTCTTGGTAAGAGAAAAATGAATATAGCTTGTTTTATCTTTAATGTGCTTTTACATAACTATATGGTGGAGGACCTATAACCAAAAACCCAATGGAAACAAATATTCCATGTATTATAAATCACCAAAGATGGTATAGGACTAAAAGCACCGATGATGAAAAGTACCTTTAGTCAGAAAACCAATAAAAGAATACATAAACCTTTTACACCCACCAACAGAAGTTCTGTTACTTAATATACATCTACATAGTGCTATAAATTTTATAAACTATAATAAAACATATTTCTAATATAATTGTCTTCATTGCTCTGGTTTGTTTTCGATTTCTCTCATTGGAACTCTAAGCTGTAGAGGGTCTCGTAATCGTTTGATATCATATTCTACTTTAGCAATTTCTTCCTTTAGCTTGTTGTATGTTTCTACATTCATCTTTGTCTTCTTTGCATTTTTATGAAGTGATATTAAATATTGTCTATCACGTAATGTTTCGTAGTTGTATTCCTAAAATGAAAATAAAATGTTCTTTACTAATAAATGTTAAAATATGACATGATTTATAACACTGATGGCATACCGTTCTTAAATTCTTAGTTGACAAAATTAGAAATTAAAAAACATCCAAGGTTCAAACTAGTTTCTATTAAGTGTACAATTATTTGTCATTTATTGAGTATATTACATCTTCAATGTTTCTTAAGATCTTATTAAAATTTCATAAAATACCTGTCTGGTGAGGACGAAATAAGCAAACATGGCCACAGAGGTACCGTAAGTGATGAAATACGTCACAGGTTCCATGATATCCCAGGAGTATTCCCACCAGGTCAGACGAGCCAGGACACCAAACTGTAGACTCATCAAACCCAATCCAACCCATGCCAAACCTGTCGTCCTTTTCAAAGCTTTCCCTTCTAAATCTCCTTTTATCTGAAAAAAATAATTCTTCATGTATTATTTAGAAGACATAACAGATTTTTGTTTTTAACTTCAAAGAAACTAATAAATCACATACACATTGAAGTTTAGATAAAAATGTGACTTATGCTTCTGATGTTTACCAAAAGTCAAATTTATTTATGCAATAATACCTTAATTTTCATCTTTAGATTCTAGTATAGGTTGATTCCCATGTTTAATCTCAGAGAGACACAACCTGGGAATTTACCAGTATAGATACAATTGGACAGCAGTCAAACTGAATTGATTTTCTACTTGTTAAATAGAGTTGTTCCCCTTTGCCTATAAAACATAATTTAAGGTATTCTGACAAACATACAGCAAAATATCAAGTTAGATTAGTTTTCTTTGAAAACATGTTTAGAAAATGAAAAGAAAATTTCTATAGTTTTCTTGCAAAGAAACTAATTTTGAGGCTGGTATACTATGTGAAAAAATACTTGAAAATATTTAAAATGTTTGGACAAATGAATAGTGGAGTATTTCTACCAAAGGTTGACAACTTATTTTGAAACCACCTTTCTCCAGATTAACCCGAATAATTCAGTCGTTATATTACACTGATCTACGATTACTTCATTAACGCCTGAATGCATAGACAATGAAAAATCTTCAATCAATCATTAGGAATTAGCTTGGGATTTACCTATCTTGATAAAATTGAGCTGATTACTGATTGGTCACCTTTTCTACAGGGCACCAATCACAATCCAGGATTCGTGAAGAGTTTTTATCGTGTTAGGAAAAGTTATATGTTTTTAGAAGAAGGGTTTTTCACATCTTTTCAAAACTTATACTGTGCAAAAAAATAAATGTATTTTTCTAAACAATTTCATTACAAAAGGAATGGAAATTCTATTTTCTTCATTTACCAGACTTTCTAATAGTACATTTTGTAACTTTTTTGGTTTAATTGGAGTCATTCAAATATTCTAATATTTAAAAAAACTACATTATGCCAATATAAATGTTATTCATGATAAAAATAGTTCACTGGAGCAACCATTATTAATGTGTCATGTTTTGAAATCAAAGAGCCAATTAATGGCTTTCTTAATGGGGGAGACCCCAAAGTTACAACTTTTCACATTTTTTAAAACTTTTTCTTTATGAAATCAGACAAAATTAATTGGAGTACAGTAATAAATTGAAAAATTTAGTAAGATATCGAAACATTCATTTTTTCAGATTTTGGAACTGGCTGAATGTAAATATGACCAATTAAAAATGTTCTATGCTTATTGCTGGTGGTATAAAAACAAGATATCTGTATACTTTTTCATAAGGCTGCACTTGAAGTTTAAGATCCTCTAATTTCTGGACAAGAACTTTCTCTTGTTCAAACTGATGCTGGTCAACATTAAGTTGAGAGTAAAGCTGAGCTATCAATGTTTTCACATCAGATAATGTAGCTAGGTCTTCATTTGTCATTGTTTCTGTAAAGAGAAAATAAATTCACCATATTTGGGAGTTCTGTAAAAATATTCCCTTAAAGAAATTTGTGTAACTATCAATTTCAAACTTATTTGTCTTTTCAACTTTTTCATTTTTTGCCTAATATTGTCAGTTTTTCTTTGACTTATGATTTTTTATTGTCCTATCCATGTCTTCTGTCTCTTTATTTCTAGACACAAGCTAATTTAGAGTATGACATACTACCTAGACAGTGGTGTATTTATAAAGACTTATTTTCATCTCAAGACATATGGCGTGTAACAGTCACATTATAAATCAGACATTTTTGTCTCACTGTTGTTCAACAATATTACCAGTAATCATATAAGAACACGAATAGTGCTTTTGAGCATCTAAGGGCTATTCCATTAAAATGTATGTGGGAGGGTAGGAAGGGACTTTCAAAATATACCTACAACCAAGAACCATTTTTTAGATAATTTTGCATAATGGTAATAGACGCATACTGAAAAAAGACCCATGACCCACATTCAAAAATTAAACTTCCCTTCCTACCCTCCCACATACATTTAATGGAATAGCCCTAAACTAGCAAAAATCACCTTTCCCGAACCCCAATATGGTAACAATAAAACACTTTAATATTGAATCTTGCAAATATGCAAGAAATATTGATAATCTGATGGAAACTTTATAAATATTTTATTCTATATCATGTTGTGAATCAGCATTGTTCTGTATTTTATTTTCATTTTAATGTCATATTAAATTCCGTGCATTGTAATTAGTGATGGATAACAATGTAGAACTTAAACTGTTCAGCAGGAAACTTTATTAAATTCAGTTTATTGAATAATTAGGCCACATGACATGTAATGTTTTGTTCTGAAAAATGAACTCCAATTACAGTTGGTTCAAAAAAGGGAACTCCAATTACAGCTGTTTTCATGAAAAGAATTAAATAAAAATTGTAATACTCACATCCCTTTTTGTAGCCCTAAATTTTTATTAAAAAGTGTTGCCTTATTATTGAAAGGAAACAAAAGAATCTCCGGTTATCAGTTTTATAGTTTAGGCTTGTGAATTCATGCCAAGGATGAATGCTGTTTCATTCATATCTACTGAAATGTTTTTTCTTATATATTTGAAGAATTTGCTATAATAATAATATTTCATAACTTGGATCTTCATTTTATCTAGTTTTTCTGCTTGCACAGTGACTGGGTGAAGCCATTTTTCTAAAAATACTTATTTACACACATTACATTTCCAGTTAAAAAATATGCTAATAAAGCCATTTAAAAAACAAAAACAAAAAAGGATCAGTAGATACCAAGGGAACATTCAAAACTCAAAAGCAGAAGACAATGCCATGGCGAAAAACGAGAGAGTGAAAAATCCTCAAAACAGTTCATGAAAACATAAAGACTGGGGGATAATCTCATGTGCTCAGGGTTAGCAGTTTTGTGCTCCACTAAGGGAACCTGCCATTACAACCCAACACAAGGTGGAAGTGGTTCATGGCTATACAAACAAGAGGCTCTCAAGAGCCTGAATCGCTCACCTGTTTTTCAGAGGAGAAGATTTTAAATGTTAGCAAACTTGCTGAACAAATTGTGTAAAATTGTCTTGAAAGGGCAATAACTCCTTAAGGGGTCAATTGACAATTATGGTCATTTTAACTTTTTTGTAGATCTTACTTTGCTGAACATTATTGCTGCTTACAGTTTATATATATCTATAATAATATTCAAAAATAATAACAAAAAATTGCAAAATTTTGTTAAAACTACCAATTCGGTGGCAGCAACCCAACAATGGGTTGTTAGATTCGTCTGAAAATTTCAGGGCCAATAGATCTTGACCAATTAAACAATTTTACCCCTGTCACATTTGCTCTAAAAGATTTAGTTTTTGAGATATAAGCCAAAAACTGCATTTGACCCTTATGTTCTATTTTTAGCCATGGCGGCCATGTTTGTCGATGGATACAAACTTAGGATACAATTTATAAACAAGATACCCTAAGGAACATTTAGTTAAAGTTTGAAGGTAATTGGCCAAGTAGTTTCAGAGGAGAAGATTTTTAAATGTTAGCAAACTTGATGAACAAATTGTGTAAAATTGTCTTTTAGGTGTAATACCACCAAATCATAGTACGTCACATCCAGTTGCATACGAAAATAGGTCGAAAAAAAATATTCCCTTGAATTTGACAGTTGTAGGTAATTGATCCTACATTTCATTGCAGTAAAACATTTCTGAGTCATAAACATATATCTTGGGTATTTCAAAGCACCATTATTTCTTTATTTGGGGTTTCTATAGAATATTTTGGAAACTTGAGGTTACATGGTTACTAAAGCTTGTACACAGGTTAAAAAAGGGGGAAAATTTGATTGGTTAACTTCCAATGATGGCTATTTTCTTATATGCAATGAAATGTTATGTGAAATTTTTTCTATAGTACTGGACAGGATAAAACTTTAATCATGCCAAGTATTTCTTAATTTGAAACAAAGATAAATTCTGCACAATTTTTTGAAAAGTGCAAATTTAACAAAGACTAATAGGGGAAAATCAATGGTGGTATTACACCTAATATGGGAAGCTGTACATGCACCTTTGACCTTGTGAGTACTCTCATGTGTTAAAATTTCTTGCTATTTAAGTGAAATATTACAAATAATGAAATATTCTGAGTGGATTGAGTCTCCAAAATACATTTTATGAGAAAATTTCCTTGAAATTAGGACTTTACCATGAATATTAGTTGACAGAACAAGCCATACTTAGAGTCTTGGGGAGCTTTTTCTCCTTATTTCTTATATTCTGCTATACTAGAAAATTTTTCCTAAGAAATACTTTAATAAATATATAGTTTTAAGTAAATGAAATTATTTTAAAAGCAGTAACAACAAATTATTCACCAAAAGAGAAGTTTTTTATGTCCCTCTCTGGAACGCGGCGTAAATTTAAGTTTTACGTTAAGGACTTATTGAAACCTCCTTGGAGACAGTAAACTTTTATACGGATAGTTCATTCAGCTTGAATACTTCAATTAATCATTTATGATAACATTTCTATCATAAATGAGTGAAAGTAACCCCAAAAATTTTTATTTATTGGCCTAAAAAGTAGAAATTTTGAGGAAATGAGAGGTATAAATGGACCAAAAGAGACCTTATAAGGAAGACAAAGAGGTCCATTAGTAGTATTTATCATCCTAAAGTCATCTTGTGTATCATATTCAACTGTTTGTAGGCAGATGAGATGAATATTTGATCATTTATTGGTCCACACTATATTCTATCATGATGCGGCTTGGTTTGAATTTTTCGAAGAAATTTTGCTCAAATCGCTGTTGATGTCGTCTTACATCATACTAGATTTTTCTCAAACTATTGGACTGATTATGACAAAACTGGACAGGAATGCTTGAAATAACCAGTATTACAAAGGAAAAAAGTCACATTCAGTTTATTTAACAAAAAAAGTCTTCTTTAGGTGTAATACCACCAAATCACAGTATGTCACATCCGGTTGCATACAAAAATAGGTCGAAAAAAAATATTCCCTTGAATTTGACAGTTGTAGGTAATTGATCCTACATTTCATTGCAGTAAAACATTTCTGAGTCATAAACATATATCTTGGGTATTTCAAAGCACCATTATTTCTTTATTTGGGGTTTCTATAGAATATTTTGGAAACTTGAGATTACATGGTTACTAAAGCTTGTACACAGGTTAAAAAAGGGGGAAAATTTGATTGGTTAACTTCCAATGATGGCTTTTTTCTTATATGCAATGAAATGTTATGTGAATTTTTTTCTATAGTACTGGACAGGATAAAACTTTAATCATGCTAAGTATTTCTTTATTTGAAACAAAGATAAATTCTGCACAATTTTTTGAAAAGTGCAAATTTAACAAAGACTAATAGGGGAAAATCAATGGTGGTATTACACCTTAAAGGGCAATAACTCATTAAGGGGTCAATTGACAATTATGGTCATATTAACTTTTTTGTTGATCTTACTTTGCTGAACATTATTGCTGCTTACAGTTTATATATATCTATAATAATATTCAAAATAATAGCAAAAAACTGCAAAATTTTGTTAAAACTACCAATTCGGTGGCAGCAACCCAACAATGGGTTGTTCGATTCGTCTGATCTTGACCAATTGAACATCCCATGTCAGATTTGCTCTAAAAGCTTTAGTTTTTGAGATATAAGCCAAAAACTGCATTTGACCCCTATGTTCTATTTTTAGCCATGACGGCCATGTTTGTTGATGGATCAAAACTTCGGATAAAATTTATAAACTAGATACCCTAAGGAACACTTATTTAAAGTTTGAAGGTATTTGGCCCAGTAGTTTTAGAGGAGAAGATTTTTTAAATAGTTTACGACGACAGACGACGGATGCCAAGTGATGGCATAAGCTCACATGGGGCCCTTTGGGTCCCGGTGTGCTAAAAACAGGAGGAGGAGTTACTTTAACGCAGTATTAACCTGCGCAATGTCACATTTTCTCATCTAAAATGCTATTCTAACAACATTTATGTAATTTGGTCTCTGGTGGGGAGTTGTCTCATTGGCAACCATACCACAACTCCTTATTTTATAGAAAGTCTGTGGTACTGTTTTTGGGCAATACTAACCAACACTGAGTGGTATTATCTCAAGGCTTTAAAACCACCACCAGATGGAGCTATATTATAGTGATACTAACCTACACTTGGTGGCACTACCTGGTACTTTTGATCATTGAGGACAAGCTGGAAACTGTTATATCTCAGCAGTGTATCTATAGTGGTTGATTGGGCCACTCGTGCTCCTTCTGAAAAAAAAATGAGATTATTAAGATGACTGATGAATACTCTGCTCACACCAATCTTGATACCATATTTAAGAAAGCTTTTGATTTGTAGCTCCTGGGAAAATGTGAAGAAAATTTCAACCATGGCCATTATGTATAAGAAAACATAAGTTTTTTTAAGTAAACAGGAAGGAAAAATAAGCAATGAATATGAAAACACATCACATAGTATAGCATGCTCACATGAAGCTTGATACCAACATTCCAGGAAGCTCCGAGGAAGTTGTGGCATGTAATATCTGGGAAAGAACAGATGTAAGGTGTGTGCACTTGAGACTTTCTCATGAATATTAGAATCATTAGATAATGATCACTTTTATTGTTGTTCTTCTACTTAAATGTTGCTGGAAGGTCTTAACCCTACAATGGACCTGTCCCAAGACAAAGATCTCAGTGTTTTGTCATTTAGTAGTGATGACAGCTCTTACTCTTTTTTGAATTTATTGAACACTTTTCTAGACCAGCTGTGATTGAAAGCTGTACAGTTATTTATTGCTACATATGTATTACATATATAGGGTATGTAGTAATAGATACTAGTCACTATAGTGACTACACATGTCTTTAGAGTAACCAGATCCAAACATGGGTAAAGAAGTTTATTTTACCGCCTCCTTCAGACCCCGAGATTAAATACTTACAAATATTAGCTAGGAAATAAGACTGATTGATTGATTGGTGGTGTTTTACACCACTTTCAGCACTTCTGGCTATATCCTGGAGGTCAATTTTTATTGATTACAGGTTAATCAGTATACTACTGTGCCCAATACATTACTCAGTGTCCTCACTTATACTTATTAAAATGCACTTGTTTGACTTTTCTTTGTTGAAACTATGCAGATATATCATCTGATATTATAATTTTTATTGATTTTTTAAAAATATTGTCATCTTCCTTTACAGAATTCATTTCACATCAGACTAAAAACATAGAAACCTTAACCAATAGGAATTGTTGTATTTGTATATAAGTTAACCTAAGGCAAACAAACTCTAATTTAATTTTATAGAATTATTAGCCTGCTGTGTAAAACAGAAGTTCATGAAATTCATTTTGTGAAAATTGAGATTTCAACTTTTTTTTAGTGTACCGTAATTGCTTTGTCAGTATTATTTTTTGTGAGGGGCATGACACGCTTTTGGGATTTGATGAGAAATTACAAAACAAAGCAAGATTAGGAAATAAGCACCCCTGTGTCACCCCCTCTGTTGAAGAGTACTTATTTTCATTGATTTATCTTCTTGAGTTTTCTTCATTCACCAAATGTTTTAAATCTGCAAATTTATATTCTTATTTTAAGTTAACAATTGCATAAAAAGCACGATTTTTTTTGTCAGGGAAGTGCTACTTTTACCTATGTTCAAAATTGGAGTGGGTGGATTAGTGGTCTGAAATCTAAAAGCCAGAAACTGACAAATGAAATTGACATGGAAACAACCAAAAGAGTTATAACTCAGTGTCCACACTTACTTATTAAAATACACTTGTTTGACTTTTCTTTGTTGACATGATGCAGAGATATCTTTCTGCTAACTCACTTAATTTCATACTTTATATTGATTAATTTTTCAGTATATTATCATCTTCCTTTACAGAATTCACCTCACATCAGACAAATAACATGGAAACCTTAACCAATAGGGAATTGTTGTATTTGTATATAAGTTACCCTAAGGCAAACAAACTCTAATTTAATTTTATAGAATTATTAGCCTGCTGTATAAAACAGAAGTTCATGAAATTCATTTTGTGAAAATAGAGATTTCAATTTTTTTTAAAGTTTGCTCTGTCAGAATTATTTTTTGTGAGGGGGATGACACACTTTCTGGATGTGGGATTTAGGGGGTAAAAAAATGTACCTAAAAGCCAACAAGTTTGAGCTTTCTAAAAAGCTGTGGACTGCTTCGCTCTATCATAATTTAAGGTAATATGTGTGCATGTGGTTGTTGAATTAGTATTCTGGAGGTGTGCCTCTCTGGAGGTGTGCCAAGATTGGCAGAAGTTATAAAATACAGATAATGCATTTTTGTAAACATTGTATAGGAACATTGTTTAGCAAAAACAAATCGTGCACATTGCAGATTAACAAAGCAAATAAACACGTATTAATAATTGATATTTCAATATTGAATTTCAGTGTGCAATATATGCATAATAAAACAAACATGAATTAATGACAGTTGATCAGAACTGAAATACACATAGTTAATTTTCCGGCATTTGATGTCTTATCCTGAGACGAGAAAAGTCTGTAATTCTTTATCTCATTTAAGCCAATAGCTGTTGCTGTATCTCAGCCGCATCATAAAGCTACCAATCAGAATCTATATGTGATTAGTAATTATTTCAAGATGGCGTGTATATCGACTGAAACTAATAGCTCCGCACCGTGATGCCAAGCAAATAATCACAAAATAAATTGACATGGAAACAAACAAAAGAGTAGTAACTCAGTGTCCACACTTACTAATTAAAATACATTTGTTTGGCTTTTCTTTGTTGATGAAATACAGCCATATCTTTCAGCTAACTCTTTATTAATGTCATACTTTTTCAAATATTATCGTCTTCCTTAACAGCATCACCTCACATCAGACGAACAACATTATGGAAACCATTGACCAATAGGGAATTATTTCATTTGTATAGTCAACTTGGGCTAAACACAACTCTAATTCTAATTTTGTAAGAGTGTAAAGCCCGCTGGGAAAACTTGAGGCTTTAAATTTCCGAGTGTTTGCTGTGTCAGTATTATTTTTTGTAAGGGGGATGACATGCTTTTGGGATGTGTGATTTAGGGGGTAAAAAAATGTAACGATGTGAGATATACAGGGAAAAAATAGTATCTGGGAAAAAGAAAGGAAAAAAAATCAGAAAAAAATTACAAAATTGGGAAATGGGCACCCTGGGTCACCCCCTCTTTAGTGGTTTACCAATTTTCATTGATTTACTACTGGGTTCCCTACAATAATGAAATTCGGTAATCAATCAAATAAATATTTTCTGTCTAGCGGAAATGAAACAAAAATAAACCTTAAAATAATGAATTTTAATTTATTATATAATAAAATGCTTCGCTGGGCGCAGCTTGATACGACCGCAGAGGTCGTACCCTGAACAGATGGGGCAAGTATGGACACAACATTCAAGCTTGATACAGCTCTGAATTTGGATTGTGATTAAATATATGACACAGCATAGGTTTCTGACACAGAAAGAATGTGGTCTAAGAACTTCAATTTTTTTTAATTTACCTATTATGATCCAATGTCCAAAATCAAAATACATGGTTAGATTCAGCATATCAAAGAACCCCATATATTCAATTTTTGTTGAAATCAAACAAAGTTTAATTTTGGACCCCAACTTGGACAAACTTGAAAACTGGTCCCATAATCAAAAATCTAAACACATGTTTAGATTCAGCATATCAAAGTACCCCAAGAATTCAATTTTTGTTAAAATCAAACTAAGTTTAATTTTGGACCCTTTGGACCTTAATGTAGACCAATTTAAAAAAACGGGACCCAAAATTAAAAATCTAAAAACACGGTTAGATTTGGCATATCAAAGAACCCCAATAATTCAATTTTTGATGAAATCAAACAAAGTTTAATTTTGGACCCTTTTGACCTCAATATGAACCAATTTGATAGCCGGCCCACAAAATAAAAAAATCTAAATACATGGTAAGATTCAGCATATCAAAGAACCCCATATATTCAATTTTTGTTGAAATCAAACAAAGTTTAATTTTGGACCCCAATTTGGACCAACTTGAAAACTGGGCCAAAAATCTAAAATCTAAATACATGTTTAGATTCAGCATATCAAAGAACACCATATATTCAATTTTTGTTGAAATCAAACAAAGTTTAATTTTGGACCCCAACTTGGACCAACTTGAAAACTGGTCCCATAATCAAAAATCTAAACACATGTTTAGATTCAGCATATCAAAGAACCCCAAAAATTCAATTTTTGTTAAAATCAAACTAAGTTTAATTTTGGACCCTTTGGACCTTAATGTAGACCAATTTAAAAACGGGACCCAAAATTAAAAATCTAAATACACGGTTAGATTTGGCATATCAAAGAACCCCAATAATTCAATTTTTGATGAAATCAAACAAAGTTTAATTTTGGACCCTTTTGACCTCAATATGAACCAATTTGATAGCGGGTCCACAAATAAAAAATCTAAATACATGGTTAGATTCAGCATATCAAAGAACCCCAAGAATTCAATTTTTGATGAAATCAAACAAAGTTTAATTTTGGACCCTTTTGACCTCAATGTGGACAAAGTTGATAACGGGGCCCAAAAATCAAAAATCTAAATACATGGTTAGATTCAGCATATCAAAGAGCCCCATATATTCAATTTTTGTTGAAATCAAACAAAGTTTAATTTTGGACCCGATTTGGACCAACTTGAAAACTGGGCCCATAATCAAAAATCTAAATACATGTTTAGATTCAGCATATCAAAGAACCCTAAAAATTCAATTTTTGTTAAAATCAAACTTAGTTTAATTTTGGACCCTTTTGACCTTAATGTAGACCAATTTGAAAACGGAACCAAAAATTAAGAATCTAAATACACGGTTAGATACGACATATCAAAGAACCCCAATAATTCAATTTTTGATGAAATCAAACAAAGTTAAATTTTGGACCCTTTGGACCTCAATGTGGACCAATTTAAAAACGGGGCCCAAAATCCAAAAACTTAATACACGGTTAGATTCAGCATATTAAAGAACCCCAAGAATTCAAGAATAAAACCCCATTAAAATTGATCAAGAAATAAGCAATTTATACGAAGTATCTTCTTTTGCACAATACTGTGCAATTGAATATTTCTTGCTATTGTGCAATACTGTACAATTGACAATTTCTTGCTATTGCGCAATATTGTGCTATTGGATATTTCTTGCTATTGCGCAATACTGTG